CAAAATGTTTCGATGTAAGAAAAAAACTCACTACTGAGCAAAAAGGTAAACATACTGTTCTAGTACGAAAAAAGTGTCAGGCAAAAGTCTGGAAATCGTTATTTATATGTTGTACGAAACCTTAGTAAAAATATTTTATCCTATGTGACAATTTTAATGCTTGTCCTAGCTTTAGGGTCTCAGAAAGACAGTGATAGATAAAATGGGTATTTTAAGCTATAATTTACAACAATACAAATGGTTTTGTACCTAAATTAGAAAGCGTGGGTTGGCCCTGTGGTAGACCTTTATACTTCGAGGCTGGCGAACTGAGACCGTGCAATACCTTAAAATATTCTCCGCAGTTTAAGTGTTATGTGTTATGAGAAATACCTACCACGACTGTATGGAAAAAAGAAAAAAGGGTGAAGCTCAATCCCTTAGCCTTGGTGGTGGGGTGCCACTGATTGAACGCCTTCAATTTGGTCAGTAGTTGAAAACTATAGAAGGCGATAGCCGGTCATATTCCTATAGCTTTGTCATAACTATAAAATATGAAAAAAGCAACATCTCGATTAGGATTAACACCTACGTCCGACGTCATAGATATACTTCACAAGATGATAAGGATTCTCTAAGTCTGTTATAAAATTGCCCTTCTAGGCATCTAATAATAAAAAAAACGTATGTGAAGAAACAATTCCTATAGAGAATTATCTCTTTGGTCACATGCATAGGTAGACAATTAGATAAATTGATGGAAAGGTACAAATAACACTAATCAGGTGAATATTTCTGTTAGTGTTTCATTTTCTGCATCTGCATTTAATAAACGCATACTCTTGAATTAATTATTCAACTAGATAAATAAACTTATATGAACATATATTTGATTAAATATACAGGCATTGGAGAAATAAACAGATGAATTAAAAAATAAAGTGATTACAGGAGTATCTAGAAAAACATCCATCTAACACTTATTGAAATCTTTCAGAAATTACTTGTTTTAAGTATATTTTAACATACATTCAAAAAAAAGAAGGATGCTGAGATGTCTATTCACCAATACACACGTGATGCAGTTATTTCAATTCATCTCTGGATAGACGGCTTTCTAAACCCCAAACATGTGACACATAAATATAGACTCCAGCTGATACACCATCTGTTTGATGAAAATGTCAAACATGTTTCCAAGATTTTTTATTTCACTCAAGTCTCGGATTTTTTATTACTCTTAGGATTTTCTTTTACGTATGGGTAGCAAGCCATGAGGTAGCACATGAAAATTTATATGTGTGTAGCATTGTTGTTAAGCTGCTTTACTCTGGATCTATCGAGTGTAAGAAGTGAGTGAATACTCTGTAGTTTAATAGGACAAACCACTTAGTCGTATTTTATTAATAGAATTGATATTGTAAGTGGGATAGAAAATAGGCCGTGTTATCTAAAAATAGTAGGATAAACCGTCTTTCAAATAAGAGAGTAAGGAAACTGAGTTGTTTGTAAAATAAGGAGTTTTTCTTGCAATAGTAGGAACGGTTGTTGTTATTAAAACAGGAGCAGAGCATTAATGTTTTTATAACAGCAGGAGAATAAAGGTATTGTGTATAAGTGAAAAAGTAGTGTTACGTAGAAAATAGTATAATGGGAAATACTCTGTTGTGTGTAGGAGAGACTCAGTTTTACGTGTATTAGTAGGAAGGACTGTTTTATGAAGCATAGAAGTAGCCTGTATTTATCTATAGAAGAGACAAGATTTTGCTGTAATCCGGTAAGAGATTGTGTTGTCTGCAGGGTACTAGTAAATAGTGTCTTTTCCTAAAACTTTAAATTAGACAATTTGTTCTGTAATATAGCAGAAGTGTGTTTGTTATTTTTGTGGAAGTAGAAGTTATTATATTGTTTTCTTAGGATTGTGAAAACATATTCTCTACAATATAGCCGAAAAAATATAGTATGTTAGGAGACATTGTATTGTAAAAACTGCAAAAATATTATATTACCGTAGAATAATATAATATTGCGTTTTTGTTCCTCTTTAAATTACTGTGGTAAATTTATTTTGCGTTATGGTGTCTGTAACCATTGTGCTATAAATAAGAATAAACGCGAATCTCTAGGATGGTAGGAGAAACTGTATTACATGGGTTTCAGAAGAAAAGTAATAGTAAATTGACAAACAACGATTTATAAGCATAATGAAGTGGTTTCATTTTGGGAAATATACTACAATGTTCTGTCGAAACACGTAGTATGATTCCCAACATGGAACCATTTCATTATGTTTATAAATCGTTGTTTGTCAACTTACTATTATATTAGCATTATGTTCTCCCTTATAAAAACACAGAAGTACAGACTGTGGTGCGTAAACTGGTTGCTTAGATTATTATTTATTGAGCACTAGAAGAGATTAAAAACGATTTGGATAGAATATCTTTCTGTAGGACAGTAGGTGCCTGCATTATCTTGTACAGTATGTGAGGGCATGTTGGCTGTAGGATATTAGGTGTCCGTATTTGTGTATAGTTTGTGAGGTCTTGCTGGCTGTAGGATATTGAGTGCTCACACTCTTGTACAGTTTCTGAGGTAGTGTTGTCTACAGAATAATGGCAGTGCGCAGGAATTTAAAGTTGCCCGTTATTTGAGATTTCGTTGCGTTAAACACACATATTATATATATATAAAAACCATATCTACACACGTACATACCTGTTTAATTCTGCACTTGCTTGCTTGAGACGGGGTGACTGGGTATGTAGAAGAAGCAACTTGCGTGCACGTGACTTTTGCCGCTTTTCTTGATGGCGGTCCTTCTATAATATCTTATGTACTGTTTCCTGGGGCACGTGGACGGTTTCGGCAACTGACCTTTGTGTTCATGTATTATCATCTGTTACAAGACTGAAGTACAACTTGTTGTAGGTCTCTTTCAGAATTGTCCTATTGCCATAGTTTGATCAATATCTCTGTTTTCTAATGGTATTACGTATAAAATATATCTCCGTCTTGGAATATTTTGTTTCCACCAAAAGTAAAATTGAAAGTGTAATCTGTGATGTAAAACCTGATATATTCCTCTGCTGTGGACTTTTTTCACGTATTCAAGTCTCATCAGCATAGCACTGTTATATGTTAAACATTATTTACTTGCCTAGATTAATTTAGGTTACTAAATAGAGAGCTAAAAGGACATAAAATTCCAATAAATACTATATAAGCATGTATTTATGATCCGAGTGTTTAAATATTTTCCATCGGAATGGGTTGTTATACACCCTTCACAAAAGCGATCAATTTTCGGTGGTATCACACTAACTACGTAACGCCAGACATTATAAAGATGTAGTTCTGATACATGCGTTCCTCCTCGATGTTAAATCAGTTATGTTTGCCACGTAACTTTAATATGATAGATTCAATCATCTGTATAACCAGTGCTATTTACGGAAATAGAGAGGAATAGTGATGAATTACACATGATATTTTTTAGGTATATTTGTTTTATTATTTTCAAAACTGGAGATTCCAAACGTAATATAACTTTTTATTTAATGAGCAGAAGTAGATAGTCGAAAAAATCACAAATCTTACATGTGTTTTGTCTTTTCTTATATTTGAATGTTTGGATTATTAAATATCATCAGACTTTCATTTGAGTGCAGATATGTATCGCGGCAAATGTGGTTTACAAACTATTATTTTAACAACTATCCTTTGATTGATTTTCCAATAATGAAGATAAACAGGCCAGTAAATTCAGTCGCATATTTGCGCGCATACTTATACTGGACATTTCCAGTATCAGTGACCATTCCTTAGCAGCTCTCTTTAAGTTAAGTTTTAAAATCAATATTTTCGATCAACTGAAAATTGTAATGTCAAGCTTTATCAGAGTTCGGACAGAAAATGATCTGACATTTGGTTAAGAATACCCAGATGAAGTTGTTGACTGGTTGCACTCCCTCTGGTTATCAGTTCTAAATTAGGGAGAGCTATGTTTGATTCCTATGGGGGGTATTTGACCTGTTAGTTTAGCTCATATAGTGTATAAGGTGCCGATTACAATAGAAATATTAACTACCAAAATATCAAAGTTAAACATTTTCATTTCTATATGTATATTTAATTGCAATCCCTTGGTAGAACATAACGCAAATACATGAAACATTATAATTTTATATATTAGTGTATAATGTATTACTTGACGTACTAGTCTTACTTTGTGTTACTTATGCTCTGATAATTACCATATTTTCGAATATTCATAATACTTAAAACGGTAAAAGCAACACCACTTGAGTTCTGTGGAATAGAAATCTGGTGTTTTAATGGTTACATCACAAGTTCAAGTCGTAAACAACGCATTTGTTTGTTTGTTTTGAAGCACAAAGCTACACAATGGGCAATCTGTCTGTGACAACCGCGAATATCGAAACTCCTCAGACTTGCTGCTGAGCCAATAGGGGTAGGGTGAAAAACAAGCAGAGACAAAAAACAAAAAACAACAATAACAACAAAAATGAATCATTGTAAATTAACTAAATAAAACAAGTTATGTTGCCCGATTGGCGTCCCTTTGCGTTGTATTGTATATAGTCTACATACTTATAATAATATTTGTACTTTAAGGCATTTCATGACAAAAAATAAAATTCAAACACTGCATAAAAGTAAGAACTTTGAAAACTACCTAAGATGTAGAACGATTCATTTCCGCCTAGTGCTACTCCTGAAGGGTCCAAACTCGTCATAAAAATGTGACTTCACAACATAACACTGTATGTTAATAAACACAAGTTTGAATTAAAAACCCCCTCCTAGTTTGTGTTCTGGCATGGGTTAGTGGTTAGGGCGCTCGACCCCTATCTGAGGGTTGTGGAATCGAATCCCATCACCGAGTAAGCTCGCCCTTTCAGCCGTGGGAATGTTATAATGTACAGTTAATCATATAATTTGTTGTTAAAAAGTAGCCTAAGAGTTAGCGGTAGGTGGTATGTACTAACTGTTTTTAATTTTGTCTATCACTGCTAAATTAGGGACGGCTATGCGCAAAATTCAAAAAAACAAACAAACAAAAGTTGTTATGTCTATATCGCTATGACTGTCAATTATGTTACAGCCCACACAAGACTATCTTTGGGGAGGAATGTTAATTGACAACACTAATGTCTAAATCATATTCTTCTAAATTTAGTTTGCATCATCGTTAAGGATTTTAAACATTTATTTTATCTAGCTTTTAATTTTATAAAGAAGTGTGTTACTTAAGGTCTTTCCTGGAAATTATCATCATCAATAAAAATATTTTTCTCTAGTAAGATATCAGTTTAAATATTAATAATCAGTCTTATTTTATATCAATGCTTATTTCACTTATTCATCTCGACTGATCTCTTCAATATACATAAAACATTTAGAAGTCGTTTCATCTGTTTTAGCCACTTATTTTGATTAATATTTTTAAATCGCATAAAGTATATTTGAAAAAATGTCCAATCCTGTTTTGTTATTCTTGTTACTCGAACACATTTGATGAATATAGTGTTGCAGTGAGTATTCCTTTTCACACTCTCAAACAGCCAAACTCCTTGTTGTATTCTTAATGTTTTTTAATGTAGTTTCTCTCCTTGTCTACGGTCTTGCAACGCTTTCAGTCCAGATAGCCCAATGTGGTTTTCTTAAAAAAAAAACAAAAAAAACTATCTTTATCGGATAATTTTAGAAATAAAAAGTTATTTGCTTTGCGATTCAGTAATTTATAGAACGTATAGAGAAATGTATCGTATAGTTAATCTAAAGACATTTGCAATTCTAACAAGGAAATAGCCTTACAATACATAAATAAATAAGCACGTATTTATTACGCAAAAAGACAAATTATGAAGGATTTGCACTGTAAAACACGAAAATTATGGAATCGACATATGAAGAACTGATGACTGATTTAAGTTAAATTAATTTTGCAAAGAAAAATTAAAAGAAATATCTAGGACACACATAATTAGATAGATTCATTTTATTAGAAACTCGTCAGAAAAAAAAAGCTCGAAGAAAACGGCCTATACACAGGCGAAAGAGGAATGTTACATAGTGTGGCTTCAGGCTGGAAGTTTGGACCAACTACCCGTACTGAGATACTTTTAAAAATCTTTCAAATATTTTAGTAAATGTGATTACTCACAAGTTTAGACTGCTGTAGTCTAATGCATTTAACGAATGTTAAGGTTAATTATGGTGAACTGTTGGGAAAATTTAAAATAGCTACTATTAGATTACGATGATTGAAAAATATTTTGAAAGATAATGAACCAACTAGAAATACGTTAAACTTAGCTGTTTTATAGTGTTATAAAACGGTTTGTAAATACTACACAGGACTAGATCTCAAAAAAGCCAGTCTTTAGTACAAAAAAGGACAGAGATACGAAATGTCTACTTATTGTGTAATAAACAATGGTCAAGGTTGATCTAGTGGTTAGCAAACCAGTCTGTGTATATTTGGGGTCTATGTTTTGCATATTGTAACTGCAAGGAAAATCGTGATCCGTACTTTAGGGCCGCTGGTGTATTATAAGAGTGACAGGTAAATCCCGCTATTCGATTAGAACAGCCACAGAGTTGGTGGGTTTCCTATTGGTTAGCTAACTTTCCTTTAGTATATCAATTCAAAATTTGGAATGGTTAACGCAGATAGCCTTTATATAGTTTTGTACGAATATCCGAAACAAACCAAATCTTAGTCAACAAAAAAGGAAATTAATTAAAGGCAAAATTTACCATTAAAAATAATATTTGATGAATTATTTTTGGCACCACTGTATAGACTATAATTTCAGAAAGTAGCTTCTATGTAAGCTGAACAATTAAGTCTTTACAACAGCATATATACATATATATATATATAAGAAAGAAAACAAATGGCGTCAATTGAAGTGCTATTGTGCTATTACTCTAAAGGCACAGTATATGTCCTAACGCATAACTTGCATCTTATGCTATGAGCAATATGATGAATTTATGTGTTTTTGACATCGTTGTGTCCGCATCTTTCCACTTGGGTAAAATCTACTTTTACATCATCGTGTCCACATCTTTCCACTTTAGTAAAATCCACTTTTACATTATCGTGTCCACATCTTTCCACTTTAGTAAAATCTACTTTTACATTATCGTGTCCACATCTTTCCACTTTAGTAAAATCTACTTTTACATTATCGTGTCCACATCTTTCCACTTTAGTAAAATCTACTTTTACATCATCGTGTCCACATCTTTCCACTTTAGTAAAATCTACTTTTACATTATCGTGTCCACATCTTTCCACTTTAGTAAATCTACTTTTACATTATCGTGTACCACTATTCTTTCCACTTTAGTAAATCTACTTTACATCATCGTGTCCACATCTTTCCTACTT